TGTCTAAGTCCCTCCCGTGCGCCAATGGTGAGGCAGCAGGCTGGGAGGGTGAGTGGCGCCTTGCGGCTGGCTCACTGCTCGTGGGGCGTATACGCTTGTCTGGACCACCACTTCCGTGTGAGCACAAGTGAGCTGGGCTCTCTGTGGTCATCACACGCTCCTGATACAGATTTCATGATGCTGAGAACATTAATATTACAGACACGAAAAATGTTTCAGTGAACTCTTGGATGATAGTTTTAATTTACTAATTATAGAAGAAAATTCAGAAGATGTGGAGTTCTAAGAAATGGGGTAGTGAAAGGCAGTCCTATCTTCCTAAAATAACTCTTCCTACTCACAAAAGATTATGGGGAACTTGCCGTTGACCATCAACCCAGCATAACCTTGAGGCAAGAAAAGGAAACTCCCACTCCCTTTAAATTACAGTTTTTACTGTAAGCTTCCCTTTTAACCAATAATAAGTAAGACTATCTGGTATTTCTGAGGGGCAGGTGAGTGGCTCAGTCAACTAGACGTCCAACTCTGGATTTCAGCTCAGGTCCTGATCTAAGGGTCATGGCTCCAAGCCTATACTGGGCTGCACACTGGGTGTGAAACTTGCTTATACTTAAAACGTGTGTGTCTGTGTGTATTTTGAAAGAACTTAAATCCAGTTTTTTTTTTTTTTTTAAAGATTTTATTTATTTATTTGACAGACAGAAATCACAAGCAGGCAGAGAGGCAGGCAGAGAGAGAGGAAGGGAAGCAGACTCCCTGCCGAGCAGAGAGCCCGATGCGGGGCTCGATCCCAGGACCCTGAGATCATGACCTGAGCCGAAGGCAGCGGCTTAACCCACTGAGCCACCCAGGTGCCCCAACTTAAATCCAGTTTAACACTCAGAGACCTGATGCTCTGAGTTTCCTGGCAGTGCATGCTGCCATGGCTCTCACTTTTACTTTGCAGGGACTCAACTCCTAATTCAAATGTCAACTAATACAAATGGATTTTTCCCCACCTCTACAAATCGTGAGCACATTAGAAAAAAATTAAACCAATTCCACGTGGTTTCTAAAGTTTGCCTTTATGAGAAAGTGTTCAATAATTATCTGTTATATATGAAAACAAATAAAAACAAAACACTCCCTGACATAAAAGTGGGCACGTGATCTGGGTCTGGCAGACACGAGTCTACACTCTGACTCAGTACTGTGTGGCCTCAGGAAGGTCACCAAAACTCCTCTGAACGTCCGTGTCCACACAAGAGGAACATACTACTACTCACCTGCAAGCTATGGAGTGAAGGCTACCACAGTCCCCAGGGCACACAGCTGGCGCTGCCCTGGGCCTGCTGCGGCGCTCTCTGCGTGATGGGGCCAGCGTTCCCCTCGTCCAGGAAGGCCAGCTAGTGAATGCAGAGGGGACCACGGAGCTAGAAAAATCACCAGGTACAAGTGATTCTGGCAGAATCACCCAGGCAGAGCCCAAGCACCAGTCTCCCGCCTGGGCCACCGGATGGTTACAAAGAGAAGAGTGGAGATCTGGCAGACGTCACCAAAGCCAGTACTGCCACCACGAAGCAGACTGATGTCCGCGTCCGCTGTGGTGCAGGGGAAGAAAGGGAACCCCAGGCTCATGAAACATCACTGCCATCAGCACACACTGACGCTAAATGGGAGCGAGCATCAGGCAAACCCAAGGTTAAAGGAAAGGCTGCAAAACAGCTGGCCTGCTATCTTCACAAATGTCAAAGCTGTGAGCTCCAAAGAAAGACACGGAACTATTCCAGATTAAAGGAGTCAAGACCGGCAACCAGTGAAGTCCGTGTGTGGTCTTCAACTGGATCCTGGACTAGGGGAACGCCATGATGCAGGAAATTACTGGGACAACGGATAAAATGGGAACAAGGACATATGTTATATACTAACGCACTGGTGTTAATTTTCCTGAATTTTCTATTGTGGCTATCTAAGAGAAAGTCCAGTCTTAAGACACATATGCTGATTTATTTAGGGTGAGTATCAAAATGAGAGAAATAAAGCAAAAGCAGGAAAATATGGGCAACAGGTAACTGAGTGAAGAGTACACAAGAGTTCCTCGTCCTGCTTTGTCACTCGGATGTTTGGAATTCTTTAACGAGAAGTCAAAAATGTTTAAGAAAGTGAGTATCTGAGGGCGCCTGGGGGGCTCTGTCGGTGAGGCATCCACCTTAGGCTCAGGTCACGATCTCAGGGTCCAGGGATCACCCCACGTTGGGTACTCTGCTCCGTGGGGGAGTCTGCTTTTCCCCCTGCCTTCCCCCAACTCCTTGCTTGTGCTTTTTCTCCCTCTCCCTCTTTCTCTCTCTCCCAAATAAATAAAATCTTGAAAAAAAGAAGAAGATGATGAAAATCTGATTTCTGTGCTCAAAGACCTTATAAACCCCTGGGAAAGACAATACTTCCTAACAGCTGCGAAGACGAGCTCTCCAGCAGAAACACTGAGTCTGGAAGCAGAGGACGCAGTCACGTCGGGGAGCAAGCAGAGGCCTCACAGGGCACAGGGGCCTCGCCCCACAGACAGGTTAGAACTGGGATTCCTACCTACATCTGAAAGTGACAAGAAGCGAGCTCCTAAGGGGCTGCAAGTGCCCTTACCGGAGCATGGTAATTGTGAGCCAAAGGAGAAAGGAAGGAAGGAGAAAGAGAAAGAAGAATTTGTGGAAACAAAGTGGCTGCGGGGGTACCTGGGGGGCTCAATCAGTGAAGCGTATGCCTTCAGCTCAGGTTATGGTCCCAGGGTCCTGGGATCAAGCCCCATATCAGGCTCCCTGCTCAGTGGGGAGTCTGCTTCTCCCTCTGCCTGCCGCTCCCCCCGCTTATGCTCTCTCCCTCTTTCTCTCTATTGAATAAATCAATAAAATCTTAAAAACAAAACAAGAACAAAAAAATAACTGGGGCATCCCCAATGTCCACCTGTCAGAGGTGCTCCTCACCAGGGCCGCCCGGGAACCAGCAATGCCACCGCTGCATTCACAACCCTGTGCAACTCTGCTGGGCATCCCACCTCACAGGACCATGGCGGGTCGGCCTTTCTCCTATCCTATCATCCGGGGCAGGGGCAGCGGAGACCAAAGTTCTGTGCATAATCTGTTTCTTAGGACTCAGGAGCTCTTTGTAGGGTTGTTTTAACCAAGATTAGGAAAAATGAGGAATTAAATGTGGCAGCACCAATAGCCCTAAAACTAGTCACGTGCAAGTCAAGATTAGACTCATTCATGGACAGAAGGTGTGAAACTCTCAAGGAAACAGACCCCCAAAGGAGAATCTTCTGGCCTCCACATGAGGAGCGAGACTACCACACTCTGACCCAGGAATCAAGAACTACAACTGGCTGGCGTCTGAACCACGGAAGGTGGGCGAGGCTCGGAGACTGGCCTCGGCTCTGAGCCTAAACTCTCCTTCTGGGGGGTACAGTGAGTCCATCCTCCCCCAGAGTCATGGGAAAGGATCACCAGGGCTAACTGACCTCCTAGGCCACCCCTTACTAAAACAAGTATTGTTTTCAATTCGACATTACCCATCTGCACGGGACTCAGCACTGGGTTGAGGGCAAGAGTATTTTAGGAGCCTTTATTTCCCTTTGGATTCTCCTTGCAACTCCAGACACATTGTGTTTTCGCTAACCTTTATCTGTCCTGCTCCCTAAAGACAAAGCAGCACTCTGGAAGATCAAGTTGGGCACAGAGAGCTGCCTTGCCCCTGACCCTCAGGCTCTCCTAAGAAAGGAACCAGAGGAATCACAAACTCGTCTTATCAGAGAGGTGTCAACTATAAACCCACACGGTAGGCCCGTGTTTCGTTCCCTTCTCAATGCCCTACAGCATGCAGTACGTCAATACTTTGTGCTAATAAAATATTCCAGGCGGATACTGTTAACACACAGTCCTAAGTGTTACATTTACTGGGAAGATGACAGGAAATAGTAGAGCCTTAGTAAGGAACTTATACAAAATAGTGATTACCAACACGACATGTTTTCTGATTACTGGGTTATAACTCAACCCCCCGAAAATGCGAACCTCATTCTCAGCAGCCAAGGCAGTAAGCACCCCGTTAAGCAGGAACACACTGCCGCGTCCAGCGAGGACGGGTAAGGAGCACCAGCAGAAGAGGACACACTCCACACAGCTGATGCGTGACGAACGCTAAACACAGTGGGGAAACGAGGGATTTATAGTACTTGGAGGCTTTTCTGTGGTTTGGAAGGGTGAAGCCACTTGTTCTGTCAGTGGAACTTTATTCCTGCTTTCAGCGTTAGCAATAATGGTTTAAAACACAAACAACAAAAACAGCCACAAACCACCTGGTTTCAAGTGAACTCTGCACAAAGAAGCTGCCCAGAGCCCCTGTGGTCACCAGTGACAACTGTGCTGCCCTCTGGGCAGACCTCACTTTCAGAAGCAACTCTCAGAGGGTGGAACTAGTACTGGTTTTTCTTCGTTTTTCTCAAGAACTTAGATTTGCTTACTTTCTCACTTTCCACTCAGCCCCGCCATCAGATAAAATGCATAATGGCCGACTCATGGGTGACCTACAATGACTTACACCATTACGTGCTTTACTCAGCTTTATAAGTCCACTGGTTTATAACACACACTTTGGTTAACCAGCAATTTAACATGAAAAGGAAATACTCACCCCTAGCATGTTAAGGATCACAGACACAAGGGTCACCAGGCCCAGTGGTCCCATATGAGGCGCCTAACCGGCAGAGAGCAGCACTCCTCCAAGGCAGGTCCCCAAATCTGCCCTGCCTACAACCAGAGCTGAGCCAGGGTGCGGTCCACATGGAGGAGGTCTCCCCCCAGAGCAAGCAGCTGGACTAACTGCTGGGACCACTCCCCTAAGCCCGACAGGACAGGAGTGTGTGGCCGGCACACCGACAAGCCTGTCCTGCAGCATAAAAGCACTCCAGGAAGAGAAATGCAAACATGCAGACACAACGGGGAGTTGTCCCAAAGCACAACAAGGGGCAGTACCTGTTCCTGCAGGTCGTAATCGTAGCTGTCATGCAGCAGAAGACTGAGGACATAGCGGGTATAAATCATGGCATCGATGCCACATTTCTCCAGCTCCTGCCCCAGCCAGGTCTGCACTGGGCCCAGAGCATGAAGCAGAGACATTTCAGAAACAGATACGGGGCCTGGATAAGAGCTTGAGGAGCTTTCAGATGGTAAACCATCCACAGCTACTGTGCAGACAGGGCGCATGAATTTAGGTTGCTGACATCCTTAAAATGTGAAGCATTTTCTGCAGTTGATGTTCTGTTGGTATCTGGAGGGGATTTTCACTCCAGTAAAAAGGAGAGATGCTTGACATCTAGGATAAGCATCTATTTTCACTGGCAGTCAGCCATTAGGACAGAATTTCCCTCTTCAGGCATGACCAATGAATCAACATTCTGATAGCAATACACATGTAGATGCGATTTTCTACTCTACTTTCACATTGAGGCCAAATGGAAGTCTCCGGCAGAACCTATGAAAATGAGAGAGAGAGAGAAAAAGGTACGCATTATATAAAGATATAAATTACCAATCTTTTGGGGGAAAAAAACCCCAAATGAACTGTTTTTTGAAATTTGGTGTCTTAGAACACAGATTTCGTTTTTATTATAATGTTTAACATTTTAAAATAAGTGACATCTCAAAATTTTAAGCTTAATATCATTTAAAAGAAAGAGAACTCCAAAATCTACATTGTTGTGCTCATGCTCCGTCACACCGATGCCGAGAGACTGAGCTAACAAAATTTTGTTCATCCGTAATGCTGAAAGAATTTGCGTGGTAACAAATCACTAGTTCATTTTTGAGTGTTCACAGACACAAGCAGCTGCATAGTAATTCCATTTAAACCATCGCTAAAAAGTAGTCCTTTAACTTGAAGGTCTCATAATCATAGTCAATCATCTCCTACGGCTAAAAGATTTGCATGGCTGCTCGCTACTTATTTCATAAAAGTTAAGGTAAACCACGGATTTGGCTCAGAGCCATGCCAGGCTGGATGGTTAGACCTGCTTTATTCTACTATACTTTGGCTGATGGTCTGCCTACTTGCATGAAGGATGCCATGCTCTTAATAGCTTTTTCCCTTAAGTTAACCTACTTTCATATGTCAAACTAATCTAATGGCTTTGTTAAATCACTCATGCCAGGAGAAGATGGAAACTACCACAGCGACAGGAAATCTCATCAGCTCAGATTGTGCATGAATTTTAGCAGACAATAGGAGGGCTACCATAAGTGACTTTCAGGGGCACTTGGGTGGCTCAGTCCATTAAGCATCCAACACCTGATTTAGGCTCCAGTCATGGTCTCAAGGTCATGAGATTGAGTCCTTTGTCAGGCTCCCTACCTGCTCAGCAGGGAGTCTGGTTGAGATCCCTTCCCTCTCCCTCTGCCACTCACCCCACTCATGCACTCCCTCTCTAAAAAATATAATCAATCTTTTCTTAAAAAAATGATTTTAGGGGTGCCTGGGTGGTTCAGTTGGTTAAGCAAGTGTCTGCCTTCAGCTCAGGTCATGACTCCTGGTCCTGGGATCGAGCCCCACATCAGGCTGCTTGCTCTGTGGGGATCCTGCTTCTCCCACTGCCTGCTCCTCCCCCTGCGTGTGCTGTGCTCTTGCGTGCATGTTCGCTCATTCTCTGTCTCTGACAAATAAACAAATCTTTAAAAAAAAAAAGTGACTTTAAAGAATTGTTAGTAAAACATGAAGTCTGAAAGACTCTTCACTAACGATTTAAGACTTCATTTCTTGCATTTCATGAGAACTACACAGTTTTATCTACATTAAAGAAAAAATGTTATATCTACCATATGACTAAGTTATTACATTAAGTTGTTACTAGTGTATATACTATTTTTTAAAATTTTCTCCACCATACTGTCTTTTCTGAATTATGGAAAACACAGGTGCCTGGGTGGCTCAGTCTGTGAAGTATCTGCTTTCAGCTTGGGTCATGATCTCAGGGTCCCCAGGACTGAGCCCCACATCAGGCTCCCTGCTCAGCCAGGAGCCTGTTTCTTCCTCTCCCTTGCCTGCCACTGCCCCCTGCTTGTGTACACACTCTCATTCTCCCTCTCTCTGTCAAATAAATAAATAAATAAAAACTTTAAAAAGTTTGAATTATGGAAAATAGATAAAGCAAATGTTTTTCTATAATTTTCACCTGCTGAAATTTTCTAGCTGACTCTCAAAATTAAAACATTTTTCATTAATTCTTTAGTATGTTTGAACCTTGGGATGCCATACAGATTGTCAATTAAACAATACACTGAATTCTGGGAACATCCCCTAAAGCAAGGTGACAAGCTGGTACTCATTTAGTGAAGATCAACCAAGACTGAGGGCAGACGAAGCAACAGCGGAAGCAGCTGGGTCAAAGACAACAGCAGCCTGAGCTCACAGCACACAGCACCAGAGCTCAGCAGAGGGCAGCCTCAAGAACTCATCATTTAATCAGGGCATGCATGGGAGGAAACTCCCTGAGCACAGGAAAGGGTCATCACGAAGCCTAGGAGGATAAACAGGACTTGATGCTCAGCATGGCCAGGAACAGCATCGTTTCCCACCAGCCAGACCAGAAAACCTCCTAAGTTCGGGGACACTGGGTACTTGGAAGCCTCCTAATTTTAAAAGGGGAAGCAACTAGCCCTAGACAGAAAACAGTGTGTGCCTAACACATCCTAAAAGAAAGACCTGAAAGGACCAAACTATTTCTAATTTCACTATGGTCCCAGAACAAACCTCAAGAAGTTTATAGGAACACAAAAAATACCTAGCACCTAACAAAGTAAAATTGAGAGGCGCCTGGATGGCTCAGTCGGTTTAGCGTCTGCCTCTTGGATTTGGCTCAGGTCCCGATCTCAGGGTCATGGATCGAGACCCACATTGGGCTCCAAGCTTGGCATGGAGTCTACTGGAGATTTTTCCCCCTCTTTCTTCTTCCCCCTCTACTCCTCTCCTCATTCGTGCTCTCTCAAGCAAGTAAAATCTTTTTTAAAAAAGGTAAAATTTACACTGGTTGGCACCTAATAAAAAATTAGCAGACATGCAAAGCAGAAGCAGAAATTAAGAGAAAAATAAACTCACTGAAACCAACTAAGAATTGATACAAATGTCAGATTAGCGGAAAGGACTCTGAAGCAGTTACTAGGACAAAAAGCCATATATGTGATGAACAGAAAATATAGAAGATTGAGAGTCAAACATCTACAAATGAAAACTACAATATCAGAGAGGAAAAGCAGGCAGCATGGGGTAATGGCAGATCAGCCACTTCAGAAGGAAAGAGTCCAGAGTCTTAAACTGCAAAAGAAACCATACAATGTGAAACACAGAGAGAAAAGGAATAAAATAACACAGCTTCGGCAAGCTGGGTGACAATTTTCAGAAATCTAACATACGTTTAGTTGGAAGAGAAAGAGAAGGGGTCAAGAAATACTTGAAAAAATAATGACCAACATTTTCCCCAAAATTGATGACCGCTAAAAGCACAGATTCAAGAAGTTCAATAAACTCTAAACATAAGAAACATAAAAAAAATGACACCTAGGCTTCCTGCAGCAAAACTGTCCAAACAAATAGTAAAGGGAAGCAGCTCAAAACTGCTGGGAAGAAGAGACACACTACGTAGAACACAGCAAAGGATGAATAAGGACACCAACCTTCTTGTCAGAAACATGCAAAGGAGAAGATAATCAGGCAAAAAAAGTTTAAGGACTGGAAGAAAAACCCATCAACTTAGAATTCTATACTCATCACAAAATCTTCCAAAACAAAGGTGAAACAAAGACTTTTTCAGACTTGCCAAAGCTGGAGGTTTCCAGCAGCAGCAGCAGCAGCAGCAGACAGCCATCAGAAATGTTGGAGCAGAAATAAAATGACACCAGAACAAAAGGTGTATCCACTCAAAGGAACAAAGAGTAGCGGAAACAGTATAACTACATTCTTCTTATTATTTCAGTATCTTTCAAAGACAATTCCACTATTGAAACAAAAATAGTAACAATATCTTATGAGGTTTGCAATATCTGTAGAAGCAAAATGGAGAGCAAGAGAGCACAAAGGCTAGAGGGGGGAAATCTACTACTACTACCTGCAATGGTAGAACACCACTTGGAGACAGGCGGTGATATGATAGAGGTTAATAATCATAACAAATGTAAACAGCCAAACCAACCAATTAAAAAGCAGAGAAAATCAGAATGGACTTTAAAACTGCAAGACCCAGATACATGCTACTTATAAAAATATCCACATTAAATATAAAGGCATGGATAGGTTCAGAGTAAAAGGATGGAAAATGATACACCATGCCAACACTGACAAAAGCAAGGTGGAGGGGTCCCAGTGGGTCAGTCAGATGGCAGCTGACTCTTGATTTTGTCTCAGGTTGGGATCTTGGGATCCTGGGCTAGGGCTCTGCGTTGGGCTCGGTGTTTGGCAGGGGGTCGGCTTGGGGATTCCCTCTTCCTCTCTCTCTGCCCCTCCTCTAGCTGGCCCTCTCACACATTCTCTCTCAAATAAATAAGTAAATCTTTTTTTTAGTACAAGTACAAGGTAGAATGTCCACATTAATATCTGACAGAACAGAGCATTAACAGAAGTAAAGGTCATTTCATAATGATAAAGAGGTCAATTACCAAGAAGTTTTAACAGTCCTATTTATTATATACCTGGTCGCAGAGTTTCCAAATGCGTGAAAACTGATAGGAGAAATAAACAAATCCATGATTGTACTAGATTTCAAAATCCCTCTCTCAATCACTGAAAGTAAACAGAAAATCAATAAGGATTTAGATAACTAGAGCAACATTATCATCATTCAGACAGAAGACTGAATCCTGGGCTCTAAAGAAGGTTGCAACAAACTTAAAAGGATTCAAATCACAGAAAATACATTCCCTGACCACATGGAACTAAATTGTAAACTAATCAGAGGCACCTGGGTGGCTCAGTCTGTTGGGTGCCCCACTCTTGATTTCAGTTCAGGTCATGATCTCAGGGTTGTGAGATCGAGCCCCGTGTCAGGCTCCATGACAGGCATGGAACCTGCTTGAGATTTTCTCTCTCCCTCTGTACCTCGCATCTTCCCAGATCTCTCTCTCTAAAAGAAAAAAAGAAAAAAAAAAGGTTTCAACCTAACCAACCACAGGATTCTCTCTGTTGTCACTAAGAGATTTCACACTTCTTTAGCCAAGTGCAAGGATTCAAGAAGTGAGAAAAAAAAAAAAATCAGCATACAAATGCAAAATGAAGTTCACTAAACTCCCAAGCTCTCCTCAGAGCTGGTTAAAACCCTATGAGAACTCTTCCTTGAACCTGTCCAATAGCTGACGCCATATCATTATTAAATAATGGGCCATATCCCTAGAGTCACTAGCGGTTATGATCTTTTTTTTCACTCTCTCTAGTTCAGACTGCAGAGGACCATGGAGAAGAGCGGACACTGGTAAGTCTGCTGCTGACAGGCTATCTAGCTGCTGTCTGCGCAAGAACTCTGAGTGGATCCCAGTAACAGGGTCTGAGACAGAAATAGCACAAGATGGCTCTCCCTGCACCATAACGGCAGGTCTAAGTGTTCTTGGAGCCAGTGTCCATTCTCTGTATTTTCAACAACTGTAACCAGAGGACCCCGGTACAGAATACTGGGCCATAACTAAGCCGCTTCTCCCTAAGAAGCAAGCCTCTGATAGAGGGATGAACATTCGACTAAATGAGAGACTCTATTTCTAGTTCTGAACTGAAAGGAGACTCCTAGGTATGTTGGCTCATGATTCTTAATTAAAATTTATTTTGGGTTACGATCTACCACATGGTCAAAACAGTGGAAGGGTCTGACAAACCGAGGCAAAACCCATCTAACATCTGCCTGACAAGTTCAAGAACACAGCTGGCAAACACCCAAATTTCAAACTGTTACGCTCATTCTAAATGTGAAATTTAGTCAGTATGAAGTTAAATTTCATTTGGGTTTAACTAAATTCTCCAAAAGTTTTTCAAGACTTTTTTTTAATGAGAGAGAGAGAGAGAGAGAGAGAGAGAGAGAGAGAGAACAAGTTGGGGGAGGGGCAAAGGGATAAGCAGACTCCCCACTGAGCGGAAAGCCTGTTAAGGGCTCCATCTCAGGACCCTGAGATCATGACCTGAGCCAAAGTCAGATGTATAACAGACTGGGTCATCCAGGTGCTCCTCCAGAAGAGTTTTTAAAGAAAGAGCACCACTGTATATACTCAAAGGCTTTTTGTCTTGCTTCACTTCATTTTTCAACATCTGATTCTCCAGAGGTTACAGAAAAAAGAGGGACCTTTGGATCATCTTGATTATCTTTCTCCCACACAAAACTAACCCAAATTATCCTAAAGACCGGGCTGCATAAATGACAATTTAAAAGGTTTCACAATAGAAGGGGGGCCTGGGTGGCTCAGTTTGTTAGGTGTCTGCCTTTGGCTCAGATCATGATCCCAGAGACCTGGGAACAAGCCCCGCCTCTGGCTCCCAGCTCAGCGGGGAGTCTGTTTCTCCCTCTCCCTCTGCCCCTCCCCTCCACTCTTGCTCTAGCTCAGTTGCTCTCTCAAGTAGTCTTTAAAAAAAAAAAAAAAGTCCCATTATGACACACTTATTTTAGATTTTTCTGTCTTTTTTACATCAAACTTTAAATGGTTTCCATTAAGGATGCAAAAAAATATATACAGGTATAATTAAATGCCTATGAAGTTTCTATACCACTTAGGTCTTCTTTAATTCTTGCAGGTAGCACGGGAGAGTGGAAAGTTCACGAGCCTAGCAGTCATAACATCTAGGTTTTTGTAGTCAGTCTCATCTCTGCTACTTAATAGCTGGTTTTGTGCCCATGACTTCTCGGGGTCTTTGTTTTCTCATCTGTAAAACAGAATAATAAATACAAGCTCTCTCTACACTTCAATGTCTCATAAGGTCGTTGCCAAGAGCAAAGGAGAAGCACATTTATGTTTTTGTGGGCTTTGCATTTCATAAACTGTCACACAAATGGAAGGTACTGTTACAAACTGCGCCCCTCAAACTGTTTATACCTGCTTTATTTTACACGTCCCTTCAGTGACCAGATTATGGGAATAGTATGTGTGTAAAAAATACTACTCTTCTGGAACAAAAAATTCTCGACTTCCTTACTATCCTTAAAACAAACAAAAAACTATGAAATCTTCTTCACTGATAAGAACCTAGTTTCTAATCACATCAAAGCCTTCCCTCTTAACATGTTACTCTCTGCTACAAATTCAAACGTGACACTGCAAATAACTCAAGGTGGTTGAGGTGCAGAGGATGAACACAGAAATACAATGATCCCCTTTGCTGCCCAGTTTTCTATTTGTTTTGAAATGTGCACACCTGCAGAGCAGTCTCTGCAGAGAAGCCACACCAGCCCCAAAGAGCACAGATCCAGAGGACCTCAGCACACCCTGGGTACTTTTTCTGCGGCCCAGTGTACAACTTCTAGAAATGCGATTTCTAATCAAGGATTAAAAACAGCCCTGGTGATGAATAAAAATCTTCCCCCAAGACTGGGGCAACTCTGTGCAGGCTTGGGGCTCAAGCAAAGCCTTCAGGCTTAATATTAGTCAGAGCCTGGAAGCCAAAGTGCAGAGGGCAGGGGGAAATACACATCATGCCCCCTGCTCCCTCTCAAGATAACACCCCCCCCGTCCCCACCGCCAGAAACCTCACACCATGCTGGGTCTCCAGGAGTCAGGGCCCTGGGGCCTGGGACATTTAGGATCAGATCTGGGACTAGCGTAACAAACTGAATTTTAAAAATAAAAGCACTGAGGGGAGGTGGGTGGGGGAATGGGGTGGCCAGGTGATGGATGCTGGGGAGGTATGTGTGGTGGTGAGCACTGGGTGTTGTTTAAGACTGATGAATCACAGACCTGTTCCCCTGAAACAAATAATACATTATATGTTAATTAAAAAATAAAATAAAAGCATTTAGGGACGCCTGGGTGGCTCAGTTGGTTAAGCGGCTGCCTTCGGCTCAGGTCATGATCCCAGCGTCCTGGGATCGAGTCCCACATCGGGCTCCCTGCTCAGCAGGGAGCCTGCTTCTCCCTCTGCCTCTGCCTGCCACTCTGTCTGCCTGTGCTCTCTCTCTCTGACAAATAAATAAATAAAATCTTAAAAATAAAATAAAATAAAAGCATTTAATTCTTTATCTAGTCTATATGTTTCTGAGCCATATAATTAGTCCCAAATGATCTGCCCACTAAGAAAAAAAGAAAACAGATCTAGAACTTAAGTTAATACTAAGTACTTTTTCAACAAATAATTAAAACATGGTAAGGCCACAAGTTTCAAATGAGTGACAGAATAATGAAGGCTCTTTTTACAGTGGGATAAAGGGTCAATTTGAAGGAGTTAACTGATCTTCCAAAATCTCTTTCCTTGTGTAACAAAGTTTCAAGAAATAAAATAGTGTCTTTCTGTCCTCTTTGTAACACCACACACATTCCTAGAAGTAATTCAAATTACAGCTCCATTTGTGTGCCTACAGAGTCATCTCAGGTGCAAGCAGCAGTGACTCCTAGAAGCTCGAAGAAACAGACATCCTATAGTCTGTTCCTTAGAGCTCAAGCCAAGCGGACAAGTGACCAGTGGAATTTAAATGTCAAAGGATTTCCCTTCTTCTTTTGTAGTAGGGCCCATGTATTTTTAGATCTGCTGAAAACACATTACGACTATTTCAAAAGCATCATCCCTTTCTGACACAGCTCACGGCTATCATCTGTGGCACTGTCTCCACTGGCTCGTATGGCAGCACAACCAGTCACAGAGCACCCATCAACCATTCCAAACGGCGCTTCTCAGCACATAGTGCAAAGCGCAGGTCTTGTACATGGAAATCTGTTCAACCGACGGCCTTGCTCTTTTACTCTCCAAGCACCTCTGCTTTTCTGCTCAAGTGGATCACATCTACTTTCATTACAAAAGTTGGTTAAAGTATTTTTCTAAATATGAAAACAGAAGGACACCCATACACAATTTCTCCACCTTAATATAATCCACAGTATTTCCATGTGGTCATTTTCAGTGGTTATTATTCCTTTTCATAGAACTTAAAATGTTTTCTTATTTCAACAGGTTAGATACTAATACATACTTCTGTATTCTCTGCTTTTCACCTAACATTACATCTTCCCAGTGCTGTGCTAGGGTCTAATATGGCTATTTAACATTTTAATTAAAAATCGGCCACATGTGGGCGCCTGGGTGGCTCAGTGGGTTAAGCCTCTGCCTTCAGCTCAGGTCATGATCTCAGGGTCCTGGGATCGAGGCCCGCATCGGGCTCTCTGCTCAGCGGGGAGCCTGCTTTCTCCTCTTTCTCTGTGCCTGCCTCTCTGCATACTTGTGATCTCTCTCTCTCTGTTTCAAATAAATAAATAAAATCTTTAAAAAAAAAAAAAAGCCTCTGCCTTCAGCTCAGGTCATGATCTCAGGGTCCTGGGATCGAGGCCCACATCGGGCTCTCTGCTCAGCAGGGAGCCTGCTTCCCCCTCTCTCTCTGCCTGCCGCTCTGCCTGCTTGTGATCTCTCTCTCTCTCTGTCAAATAAATAAATAAATAAATCTTTAAAAAAATTAAAAAAAAAAAAAATCGGCCACACATGGGCGCCTGGGTGGCTCAGTGGGTTAAGCCGCTGCCTTCAGTTTCAGGTTGTGATCCCAGAATCCTGGGATCCAGTCCCGTATCAGGCTCTCTGCTTGGCAGGGAGCCTGCTTCCCCCTCTCTCTCTGCCTGCCTCTCTGCCTACTTGTGATCTCTGTCTGTCAAATAAACAAATAAAATTAAAAAAAAAAAAAAATTGGCCACACCAGCCACATTTCAAGAGCTCAAGGCCATGTGTAGCTAGTGGCTGTTGTGCAAATATAGGACATTTCTGTCACTGCAGAAGTTCTGCTAAACAATACTGGCTTAGATTCTCTCCCATGTTGGACTAAGCAGAGTCACAGGCTCAGCAGAATCCACGCACCCTCCTCCCTGTACCTGTGGACTGTACAAGACACTCCCCCTCACACCTGCAAGATGGGATGCTAAGCAGAGCCACTCTGAGACAGCACAGAGTACCAGAGGGACGGTCTGAGGGAAGTGGAAAACATCTGCCTTTGTGTTTGGTGGGTCTCAAATGTCATCAGGTCAAATGGCACTGCAGTAGAAAGTAATCATGAAAGGTTCAGAGACAATGTCAAACTGTATACAGAACAGCAAGGACCATGATGCTTACTGACAAAGCAAAAAGAAAACTGACAATAACCCGGATGGGGGCCAAATTTCAAGGTCCAAAATTCAGGAAGAAAGGTTATTTAGTCAAAACAGGGTGGATTATGCTGCAGAAACAAACAATCCCCAAATCACAGTAGTCAGGTCCATCCTGGACTGGCAGGAACGCTCAGCATAATAATCACAGCACAACCACTCTGGGACTCTGCACACAAGATGACAGTGCGGTCACCAACCTTGAACCCTGTTAGTTCAGGAACCAGGGGCAAAGAAAATCTATGTCAAAGCATGCACCACTGCTTTGGAAACTCCCTCCTGGGAGTAAGCCCCTATCTCCCCAGTTAAAGCAAGTCTCATGGCATCATTCCAAGCAGGGCTCAGGGGGAGCTTGCCTCTCTCATGCCAAGGAGGAGGGGAGAGCAGTAACAGGTGTCAACAGCCCTAAGAACTACTTTAAGAGGCAAAATGTGGGACTCTTGATAGGAAACAACTCTAAAGTCTAACACTATTGAAAACCAGCTTCTGGTCAACTTGGCTGGACTATTTGAAGGAGATAAATCAAAACATTACCAAAAAAAAAAAAAAAAAAATCCCCACAAGAGAGACTAAAGTAACATGCTCAGGAAGGTTTCTGAAGGCATGAGCACTGCTGAAACATTAACACCTAAATGGCAACAGCCAACCCCTGCCCTATCTCCTCTAAGAAGCCATCCCTGACTACTTAAGGCCACACTACTCACTTTCTGTGACACTGGGGGCACTCACTGTCCTCCCTGCTCTCTGCTTCTCAATGACACGCATTCATACTATTCTCCCAACGGCCTCCTGCACGTGGGTTCCTTCACAAGCAAGGCTGAAAGTTCCCCAAAGCCAAACTATGAGATGTTCCACATGCTAATTAGCAAAATACTTGGGCCTTGGCAGGTGAGCAAAACTGTGTCAAACTAAACACTTTCCACATCTAAATGGAATAAATTCTGAGGGACAGCCTTGGGAAATACAATATTCCTAATGCTAGTGTGTGTGGGAAACCACTGGGCCCCAGTCAAGTCCTCAGCGGCCAGGTGGGGAACAACTCTAGCCCAGGAGCCCTAGTTCACTCTTCCACCACTCACATGTGTGCTGGAGGCGTGTGCCAGATACAGGGCACACTGTTAGTGATACAAAATCAATGACCCTCAGGTTGGTTCCTTCTGTATTTACCAACCTACGTTAATGGGCTTTGGGCTTCATCCTGAGGTAATCAACTTGTACTTCTTCCTGCTGAAACCCCTGTCTTCCACCTTCCTTGATCTAGTTTGGTACTTTTGCAATTTATGCCTTCATATTTTACCTGGTCTTCCGCACTACAAATTTCACAATAAATTTGACAAAGTGCTCAATATTCAAGGGCCTGAATTACCTGAAACGGTCTTTTCGTAATTCCTCAATTTTTGTATCAATGCGACTTTCACACACACACAAAAGCCTTTAAAGGGGAAGAGTAAAAAAAATATAAGTAGAAGAAAACAGAACAAAGAAAGTAGAAGCTTGAACTAAGCTTTTAGATTCTACTACTTTTCACAAAGATCCTATATATCTGCCCGGCAAATCAGAGAGCGCACATTTATAATGAGCTAATTACACACATGTACATCATCTCCGGGCGTCGATTTGGAACACTCATTTTCTTTAGTAGGTAGCAGGCCTTCAGAGCTAATCTATGGCCAGAAGAGAAAATCCACAGAAATCAGCCTAAACCAGAACTCTTATCACTGAAAAAATGACAGGCTAAAAGCTGGTCATATGCACCTGGTTAAGCTTCTGTATCTGAAAAACTATGGAGACAGGGAGAGTCGGACCTACAACTGCTTCCCCATCTAGAAACGTGCCAAGTCCTAGGAAGCGAATAAGGCTTCTAAGACAATATAAGCAATGAGACTAGTGTGGGACACGAGCGTTTTCCACGCAAA